AATGTACATACAAAAGATCAGTGAGAGTATATATGGTAAGTGTAAGACTAAGCACACCAAGATCATGACAGGTAGCAGACGAGTTTGTCTAACTTGGAAGCTGTGTCAGCCCCATTGATCTCGCGAAGATGATATTTTCATCCGGATTGAAGTCAGAGCAGTTTTCCTGGACCGGCCTCCCCTGTGGCGTAGGCGTGACACCATCTTATCTGTCAGTGTTCAATGCTGCAGTGCGATCCATATCGAAATACAGGTCATCAGCCTGGCCGCTGCGTGCTGAGGACGTCAAAGGACTCAGTGTTTGGCCATCGATGTTTTCGGAGCATTGCTCGAGTCTGGTGGGAACACCGGATCAGCAATGTGGAAGTACGTCGAATGGTATTCGGAGGAAATAGCTCACCCTCCATAGATGAACTGATCACACTACATAGGTTGCGCTGGCTTGGCTACGTGCTGCGTGTGCCAGTCGACCGACTTCCTCGAAGGGCTCTTTTCGCACAACCCCGTGAAGGGTGTAAGAGAGCCAGAGGTGGTCAAACAATGACTTGGCAGCAACGTGCGAAAGCCATTACCAGCAAACTCAGCTGTGCTGGTCATTGTCGTCTCCCTGGATGGGGACCTCGAGACGAGACACATCAGTGGTTAGAGACAGGCATGACCCAGTCACGCTCTGAATGGCGCCCGTGAATCCAAGCCACTGCCTTCATTGCACAGCTCCCTTCTGCGCTGTCCATTTAAAAGTCCACTTACAGACCTGTATTTATGCATCAATTTATCAGCTCCCGCCTCCAATGCGCAGCTACCTGCCCCACCTCCCCAAATCATCGGTGGATGAAACTATAACAGCTACAACCACTGTACGACAAGCACGCGATTCTTACAGCTGATAATGTTGATGATGATGCTAGTCCTCGACCCGTGAGCATCAAGCAGGGTTTCGACCGGGTAGAGGCTGCGTCACATCTTCACACTCCGTCAGGTGTTAGAGCATTGCCATGTGTACAGACGATCCACAATCTTGGTATCCCTTGGCTTCAAGGGTACGTTCGACTCTGTCGATCGGATAGTGCTCAACAGGATATGGCCCGGAAGTTTGTGAACCTAATCCGGTTCCTATAATCGCATAATCCTCGGCCTATGAGAGTGTACGTTGACCTCTTCAAAAGCTTCTCCACAAAAAATGCTGTCCGACAAGTATCTACACGCTCCATTCCTGTTCCACTTCGTCATTGATGAAGTATTGAGGTGAACACTTGAAGGTCTTCAAAACCCCCATTTTCAAATTGTTGCTGGTCGGTCTTGAGTGCGCAGATGGCATCCTTGGGGACGAAGGCACAGCACAATCTCTGTTTAATAAATTGACCACTATGATACCATATTTTGGCATCCGCTTGTCACCTTTAAAGTGCAAACTCCACTTCAGAATTGAACCGGGCGTACCACTTACAATTCAAGGAGAATCACTGGAGGTTACGGAGAACTTTACATGCCTCGGTTCTTGTAATAACTCTGTCGGAAGTGTGTTTGATGGAATCACGAATCTTAGAGGCTGGAATCACGTTTTCTAATTTGCGTCACCTGTGGTGTCAAAAAGGCGTCGTTCAGCTGTAGCATCTTTTCGGTGCCTAGGTGCCATGCAACCCTAAGGAAGCACGAGGGTGGGGACACTGCAAAGTTTGCGCCATTCTGAAGGAGGCACGGAGAACAACACTCGTCTGGGTAGACGGTATTTCGGTATGCGTGGCACATGGCCGAGCGCAACCACAGTTGGTGGTGATGGGTGTTTTCAGCGGCTGAAGTAAAAACCGCTCAGCTGTAACACCCTTCTGGCGCCTAGCTGCCATGCCACCAGGAGGAGGCACGAGGGTTGGGATACTGCCAGGTGGCCCAAGCCTAGACAGGGGAAGTCGAGATGTAGAGGTCGTTAACACGGACCTTCCGGTCAGTAAATTCGTGCTCTAACCACTGATCCCTCTCGCATATCACTGGGTCTCAAGGGTCGCACGTACTAGACCCTATTGAGGGCAGTTTTGTTGTATGGTTACGAAACATACCTTTCGGGGATAGATTGCGGAGGTATTTTCAGATTTTTTGCCACTGATTCCTTAGAAGCGTTGCTGATGTCGAATGGCGCCAACGAATTGCTAACGAGGTGATTAAAAAACATGTATTTGTTTGTGCAGCAGTTAGTTATGTCGGTACTTCAGGGGGCGAGATGGCTCAGTGGATAGAGCACGAATTTACTGACCGGAAGGTCCGTGGTTCCAACCTGACCTATACCTCTCTACCTCCCTGTCTAGGCTTGGGCAACTTATCAGTATCCCAACCCTCGTGCTTCCTTCTGGTGGCATGGCAGCTAGGTGCCAGAAGGGTTCTACAGCTGAGCGATTTTTACTTCAGCCGTTGAAACATTCGCCATCAACTGCGGTGTGCTCTGCCATGTGCCACAGACGAGTGTTGTTCTCCGTGCCTCCTTCCTTCTGGAATAAACCGCGAGGTGGACAGTGTATGACTTAGCATAAGGGTGTGAAAAAAGGTTACGAAGAGTTTGGGCGTCGTTAATGAAGGTATATCACCTCATCACAATTGTGCCACCAGGTAGTTGCAACGTATATGCTTCAAGCGTTGACCCAGTTTAGCCGGAATGCGTGAAGTTATCTGAGTTGTTGACCGATCGCATCATCTAACTCAATCCTGCTGATTCATCGATTTCTTGTTTCCGCATACACATTATAAGTGCCAGGGATCGTAGCATTGGTGAAAATTTGTTCCTTCCAAGTCACTTTCCCCACAGAGCTCTATCCTGGCATATGCAAGTTGATTTGGACTATAAGACAGGATGCGGTTGGTTTATCATAGGTGTTTTGTTGCCAACTGATTTCCAAAATTGTATGAAACAGCTGTTTGGTTATTCTCCCCCTCGTTAGTTCACTTTGATATCCTTGAAGTGTGAGTACCGTGAAATAGAGATGTTGGTTGTCAGCGAGACATAGTTCATACCTGGTGGGCAATTTGTTGGCCTAAAGGTTTTAGCCAACTTGGATTGATTGAGTCCTTCAGCTGTAACATCTTTCCGTTGCCTAGCTGCCATGTCAAACGGAAGGGTGTACGAGGATACCGCCAGGTTACCTAAGCTTAGACAGGAGTAGTCGAGATGCTGAGTTTGAGTTCGAACCACAAACCACGGTCTGTAAGCTGGTGCCCTTAATCACTGAGCTATCGCCAGTCCTTTCCATGGATTTATCGCTGGCTAACCTTTGGATTGATTCTTCAGCTGTAACATCTTTCCGTTGCCTAGCTGCCATGTCAAACGGAAGGGTGTACGAGGATACCGCCAGGTTACCTAAGCTTAGACAGGAGTAGTCGAGATGCTGAGTTTGAGTTCGAACCACAAACCACGGTCTGTAAGCTGGTGCCCTTAATCACTGAGCTATCGCCAGTCCTTTCCATGGATTTATCGCTGGCTAACGTTCTTGCCCCCAGCCAACAGTTTCGTTGAGTTCTAAGGCAGACGCAAGACCAAGATATCCTTCGACGGGCACGCTAAATCAGTATCGAGTATCTGTTCTAAGTTTTTTGTTGGTTAAAGTGAGTGTTTGTGTCTCACGATCGATGTATATGAGGGTTTGAATGAGTGCTTCATCATAACGACGCTTTTTTCCTAGTTACCGGTCTAAGATGTAGGCGATAGTTTCTGGCTTATGAACCTCTACTGATCAACACCCTTTCGGCTACTTTAAAGAAGTGATCCTGCTTTCGAGAAGACTAGTTTTATGGAATCCATCTGACAGTTCTGCACGTTTTTCGTCAACTTCCTAACCTAAGTTTCTTTCGAATCCAATGTTCGTTGACCGACTAAATTTGATATGCATACTTCTACCACGCTCAAGGAAGGGAGTTTCACATGCACAACATTCGTGTGGAATCGGACTGTGTTCTTACTGTTACGTTACTGACAGCTGATAACTAAAGTCAACATGAGCTGCTTATTGATAAGCTTGAACAAACAAGTGTGGACACCGTTCGGTAGACGATTCATGTCACGTGCCCACTCAAAGGTTTGTGGATGTGGCGTAATTTTATGTGAAAGTACCACAGTAACTTAATGAGAAATCATTTCAGAAAATATTTACAGTTCACCTGTTCTGTGTCGCGTCATGTTTAATGGCATCTCTAGATATGCAAAATTCTTACTAACCAAGTGGTTGCGTTATAAATAATCTAGAAAAAACAGTTGGAGAAAGCATGAACAGTCCTGTCAACTACATTTGCGACACTTTTTGTTGTTAGCATTTCGAAACCTGCTATCTCATTTATCCCAGGTAGTCCATATGTCACCCGTCGTGTAAACGGATTATTTTATCGCGTCATTTTTGCATAAACCTCTTTCAACCTATTGAAAATACGAGTTTTTCTCTGGGTTGAGTTTATTAGACATCGATGAGTCTGGGGAATAGTTCTCAATTAAATCATTGGCGTTGAGCCGGTCGTTTTTTCGGTCATAATAAGACTGGCAACTGCTTTCCCCAATCAACAACATGGCTTCCATCTTGAAGCGTACTATTTTGGCCGCGTGGCTGAGCATTTCTCTAGTTACATCTCTTATTGAAATTTTACTTGCACTCATACTAGTTACAGCACCTCTGGAAAGATGCAATCAGAATGCTTCTGCCTGACCGATTTGGTGTGAAATTATGCATTCTGGGGTTGCCTCCTGTGTCTTTCCTGCCATTTTTATAGGTTATGGTATTTGTTCAGAATTACCAATTTTTGGTCGAAATTTCTAGCTTTCGTAGCTTTTACAGGGTGTTGACCTCCATTATCTTCCTATGATTCCCTAATACCATGTACTTTGCCTTTGTCCTCCCTCTTGCACAGCCTTTTCTCACCCCCCTTTGCCCACTGCCCTCGCTACCCGATCCTTGTCCCGAAACCAGTCTGCGTTGCCAACATCCCGCCAAATTTCCGGAAAGCACATGCCGTCGTACACAAAGGTCCCAAGCTCCGTCTCCTACCTGTTGGGTGAAGATGAATTTATAAGTGTTGCCCTTACGCACATCCCCACAATCCCAGATACACAGTTCAGTGCTTCCAGACCCCTCATACATAAGTTCAGTCGCACTGGTGAAAATGGAACAACATCGGCTTCAACTTCTCCCACTCCTGGAGAGAGCGAACTTGAAACAATTTATCTGCTGTGTCCGTCCGTAGTCACAGTTCAGAGTTTGCACCATTTGATTCTGGCCAAATATCAGATCGACCCGCACAAACTAGTCGTCGATTTTTATCTCGATGGTGAATGTTTAGAACCTTCACATAGCCTCCGAGAAGTTGCATTCCTCTATTGTTTTCCTGCTAAACATCAACGTATGTGTTTTGAATTCATATTTGCCGATGCTCGTCTGGCTTGGTGGGGAAGGCCAATGCCTCGACTGGAACGCTCACATAATAAAGATTCGCATCAGCTCCTTTGGTCCCCTCCACTAGACCGTCGTCGTTCGTGCTGCTCCTCCCCAGATTCCGCCGACGATGTTCGACCTCGCCAGAGGGCGTGGTCAATAGCTAGCGGTGAAAAGAACAGAGAGACCCATTCGAAAGCCAAGCGGACTTCACTGTAATGCATTTCTCATAGCCTCAGTCAATGTTCAAGCTGACTTTATTTTTCTACATGTTTTAAGAATATCATCTTGCGTAATTGTATTCATAGCCTGGTTGATGAATCATGTACTTCTTCGTAATTTTGTTAATCCATTTGAGTCAGCTTGTGCATTTTTTCTGTACAGCGTAACTGACATCTGATTCGTTTTGAGGCTGTGGCATCGCCTCTGTCATTTTATTTTCAGTCAGTTTTAAATAGGTTACTACGCCCATGTCTTTCAAACTCTTTTCTACGGTGTGTAGCTTGGTGTAGTCAATCCAGCCGTACCCGTGAATCTTATTGTACGTTTCTCGTGGTTCGGTGCTTTTTTGATTGACCGAACCCTCCCACAGAATGTTTTGCTCGTATTCAACAGTACAGAGGAAGTGCATAACTGAATATTATTTTATCGTCTTCTTATTTCACGATCGTGTGAGTACTGGAAGTCACTCAGTATGTTGCTCCCATTGGTAACCTCGGGGTTATACCTGGTTTGTCACATGCTGCCAAGTTATACAGTAATGCATACCTGTTTCACCCTCAAGAAACCTAAGGGAATTCGATCGATTTGAGCGGAAGAAGAGTATTCCCAATGTTCCAAGCCACATATATAGAGTCTAATCGGCGAAGGTCCGTCTCTTTTTCCGGATGGCTCCGTCGCACCACCCGTGTGTTTGTGTGAGGTGTTACCTGACGCACAGAGTCCTCGTTTGTCTTTACCTTGCGGTACAATTGCTTACCATCTCCTGTTGCTCCGCGTGTTTGTTGGCTGACGAGAAGACTGATCGATTGGTCAGCTGTTTTTCTCGGTTAGCCAGCTGAACCACGAACATACTTGTTTATACATAAGCGAGCATAGTTTAAAGGGAAAACGTAGTGTCGAACTACTTGTGTCGTTCACCGGGACGCGATAAAAAGGCATATTCCCTTTGAGAATATTACGCACCTACCTTCACTTAAAGCGGGATTTGGCGGAAGGCTAAATGAGTCAATGGGTGCGAGAGTGACAGCTTAAACTCCGTCATTGATCCCACATAATTGCGTCGTCAATTAAGATGGAATTCTTAGTTTTTACTATAGCAAACCTGATACACAATGAAGTTGGCCTATCTGAATTGTTTTTTTGTGAAACCAGTTATCGTCGTAGCTATTATAGAGGAGGTTTGTATTCGTAGTCATCGGGGAAATTTTTACTTCACACTGAACTTCGTATGTTCCAAACTAACATGCACTTTCTGCCTTCTCTATTGAAACACTACATGTGGTATGCTCTAATTAGCTGACAGGTGAATACTGGTTCCTTGCATTTGTACAATACGGTTCCCTGCCTCGTCAGTTGCTGCTGACGTCACTTCACATAAACTGGCGATAAGCGAATGGCAAATGTCATGACTGAATATCACGGGGCGTCTGTATTTGGCACCCAAACTGTTGCGAATATCTGTAGGCAACGGAAAAATAAAATCATGATAACGTGAGATTAGTTGATGGCAACTCGTAATTTTTCATTTATGTTTCAAGACAACTGGGGAATCAGGTTTACCAAGCGTTGGCATTCTAGCCAGTACAGTTTTTTTGGTTTAAAGACAAGATCAACTATCTATGCGCTGATTCGTGGTGGTTAGGTGCATAAACGCCGCCTTGTTGGGTGAAAGGTTTGAACGTGGCTCATCAGAGTAACGTGCTGCCGAATCGGTTATTTCAGGAGTTAGGCCCAGTTAACTGTGTAATTTTCTCACTGTCTGTGAACTTCCGCCGAAAGCGTCAGCAAAAAATAGATCGGTCTAGGATTGCTGAATCATGAAGTCAACGATAACGATGGAGGTGGACAACCAATTGTTGTTGCTACCCTCATAGAGTTAGAGTTGACATGGGGAATAAGCTGATGTAGAGTGACGTAAATTCTCCGCTTCCACATCATTAGAATAAATTTATCTGGTCCGAAAACTACACAGCTGTCCACATTAAGTCCAGCGTTATGGGTGGTGTTTCTCGGACAGCATTAACCAGATTTGATCTCTCGGATATCCTTTCCAAGCCATTAGTTTTGCAATCGTTATTTTTGAGTCCGATTTAAGGACTTGAGAAACCCAATTTTTGGTTTTGCGCATCGCAGGACTGCCAAATGGTTATCCTTGGTTTTGTGAGGCCCATGGTTGCTGTCAAACTCTGCTAAGATTGGTATAAGACATGGATCTTTACCCTCTTAGCTTGAGTCCATTGATTATCAATGAGAAAGGCGATAGACAGTCTTCAGAACAACATGCATCAGGCTCAGTAGTTGTGGTGCTAACTTACTGACCGGAAGGTCCGTCGTTCAAATCCAACTCTGATACCTCGACTGCTGTCTAGGCTTGGGCAACCTGATAATATCTCAGTTCTCGTGCTTCTTTCGGTTGGTGTGGCAGCCAGGCAACGAAAGTGTTGCAGCCCATACGAGTAATTGCACCACGCGACGGCGGTCATGGTATCAGATTATATGTAGGTGTGCTATTCATGATCGCAAGTCGGCCGGATACTACCAGGACACGCAGACCTAGAGAGGAAGACGATGAGAGTCTCCAACCAAAGTTTTTGGCCCAAAAGGCCAACTGCAATTCAGCAGTGATTGACGTAAGACCGTCAAAGCGGTCTACGTTTTCAAGGAGCGAGTCGTCACACATCTCCCAATCCCAACCTGGAGGACCAGGAGACTGTTAGTCAGACCTCTATTCATTGGCCAGCCTGATACGAGAGGATGTGTTAGTGAGTAAATTGACGATCATCATACGATCTCTCGGCATACACTGTATCTATGATGTGCGAACTCATGCTTCAGTATGTACAGGATCTGGACTTCCTGGATAGTGTGGGGAACTTTACATACCTCGGTTGTCGTATTAGCTCTGACGGCAATGTGCCTGGTGAAGCCAGTATGCGAGCCAGGTCCGATTGCCAATCTGCGTCACTTGTAGTGTCAGAAGTATATTACTTAGTATCAAAAGGTGCTTGTACCAGACCATAATAAGGGCTGTCTTGTTTGGTTGCGAAACATGGTTTCTGTTGGCTATGTTTTCAGACGTCTTCAAAAGTTTCGGTATTGAATAGCATTCGCCAATATCTAGCAGGGTAATTAGAAGACATGTTCAGTTATCCAGTAGGTACCTCGGTTTCGGGTAACATCAACGTCATCAACTGCGGTGGCTCGACCGTATTTTGCATTTGCTGAATCATTATCCTTTCAGACGAGTGTTTATCTGCATGTCTTCTTTAGAATAAACCAAATGCGACATGTGACTTGGTGAGAGTTTGAAAGATATTACTGTGAGTTTTGATGCTGTTGGCACAGTCTTCCCTTCTCGTGATCCGCTTCCTCTATGCTTCGTCGGAGATGTAGCAATGAATGGTGGTTGATCGATGTCAACGGTCTTCGTTCTGTTAGTTTCTCTCCAGACTATTTAATGGAACATTTGGAGGTGTAGAGGCTCCAGAATGCTTGCGGTAGGCTGGTACATTTCTGTAATTAGATGAGTAATTGATTAGCTCTGTTCTGATACGATATCCTAACAGTTGTATTATGTTGTTACAAGATTCAACCTCTATTCGGAATAGTGGTGTCACAATGGGAACCTCCTTGGGCCAGATTTTAACTGGCATATTCCTGAGGAGGTTGAAAAACAGCTTCCAGATAAATTTAATTTAGCTACATCCTGCAAACCGCATGGCTGATATTCCAATCAGCAACAGATACTGGTTTGCCCTTGTAAATTTTTGGTATTCATGCATTCTGTACAACCTGGGGCGAACGGTTCGCACCTTATCGTTGCGCGACGATTTACAAACATCAGTAGTCCAATGAGCCACATCACCGCATATACATGCAGCATATACAGTCTCTTCCACAGGAAAGCCATAGGAAAACCCCCTTTTAGTGTTTTGGATAAGTGTGGCAACGTGTTCCTGAGTAATTGGACTATTGAGCCCACCACTACGACACTACGGTTACGCTTTTGAGTCAACGTTTTGGTTGAGTGCTCTAGTCGTTCCCATGTCTAGGTTTAGACCCCCTGATACGATCTCAGTACACGTACGACAATGCAGTGCACAAACAACAAACGTCATATCAACGATCAGGTGGTGATGTCGTCCCAGATGTCTTGATTGCTGGGTTTGTCCGAACGAATGAGCGAAACCACGCGATTATTGATACCCCTTTTTTTCGGATTATATCCTGTTAACTCCTCCCCCCCTCCCCCCACATTTCCGTAGATCCCGAATGTGGGCGCTTAAGCCAGACACCCATTGAACTGACGGATTACGTGTTACTGCCAACTTCCAGTAATCCGACCTTATTCCATCGCTTTTATTGCACGCTTTAGTGTTCGAATCCTAAAGTGAGTTTGTTAGCAAGCTGCCTTTGAACTATTTCTTCCACAATGGAGAGTTCTAATGCAGTTCTAGTCACCCGATCTCAGTGCAAAAGTGGGCCCCCCCATTTCGTCGGAGATACGACGTGGCGATACGTTTAGACGCAAGGTGTAAACGTTCTTCACACCTGTGTATCGATCACCACTCCTCAGCAGTGATCGATTTTGTCGCCAAAGGTACCTTTGTGCTGCTTTTCTTCTCTTTACTCTTGAAGAGAGGCCAGTTTGATTACATTGCCGTCATTGTTCTGTACTTGATCGCTGATCACACTGGAGTATACATGTTACTTATGATTTTTTCCTCATACGGGATAAAATCCAAAAATTTCCCGTTTGAAAACCGAGGTTTTCGGATCAATAGGCCAGAAAACGTGACAAAACCTTCAGTACTACAGCAAATACGGCCTTCTTATAAACTTACAGACCGACGCTCACACACCAACCATTTGAACTCAGGGTGGTCATTTACATTATTTTATAGAAGGCACTCCTTCGAAATCAAAGTACAACCCGACCTGACGGCCTGCTAAACGATGACTGATACGCAGCTTGTTTGATATAGTGCACTGAGAAGCCTTCGAAAATATAGGGGGCTAATGGAATAGGGAATGTACAAATGTCTCAGCTGCTTCGCAGTGCAAAACCCAGGATACCCGTTGTTAAGTTAACTAAGGATGATATTGGGAGTTTAAGGTCAGGTTTGCGATTGTCTAGTAGGTTGTCGGCTTCTCTGCCGCTGT